ATGGCATCAAGTGGATAAATATAGATTCATGCATTCCATTAAATGAAAAAAATTAATCATAATTACTATAATTATCACTTAGGATTGTAAAATTTCATTGTAAGTAGACATTGTGTGAATCATTGCCCTTAGTTAATTGTGAACCTCTTAGGGTAAGCTCAATTTTTTCATTTTTGGTATATAAAGAGTTAACTCTTGCATGATTTGAAACTCTAACATTAACCCAAAATCAATGTTTTGAAATTAGTATGAACCAACTTGATCATACTCTTGTTGGTATTAGGCAAGGCTCAAGTTGTAAAGAGTGAAGTAAACTATGTCGAAAATAAAGGTTTGAATTTTATCCATTCCCATCTGGGTACAAACAATTCTAAGGAGCCTTTCATAAAAAAAAAATAATAATAATAATAAATAATAATTCTAAGGAGCCTTGTTATGTGAATACATACATATGATAGGCAGACATAAGCCTCCACCCTCGAACAAGAAGACTTGATTGAGCAAGGGTCACCATAACATACTGAAACCATCAACTTGGATTGGAAAAATTTGCAAATACTATTCAAGTGAGATTAAGAAATTCGTCGCAACTGCTAATGAGAACCTCAAATTGGGTCACTAGTGTCATGCTCTTGAAACTTCTAATGACACCTAAACAGCGGTTATTTCTTATTCCCATTTTTTTTCTTGAACAAAGTGAAATGTGCGGATGGAAAAAAACAAGATAAAACTCTATACTTAATTTCAATTATCATTTTTTTTGAAAGGCCAAAGGAACATTTTATTATGTGAGTAGAAGCGGTAGTCAAACCCGCATATATAGCAAAGTTATAGTCATCTTAACAACAATTAAGCACTAATTCCCCTTCGTTTTCTGCCTTGTTTAAGTATCAAACACCACTTGGATTAAGCACTTAATTTCAATTATCTTAGTTTTACCTGATGAAATATCTTTAACTTTAGAAGGGAACCGTGGCATTTAAGCAACCATTTTCTAATGTTAGTTCTTTTTCCACATCTTTTTTTCCTTTCTGTTTCCTCTGGTCCAGTGTTTTTAAAGGTGAACCAAAGTCACACTCACGCAACTGAAATTTCAATTTGTATTATTTTCTATAAGTTTCAGCTCCTCTCAGAAAAGACTATTCCTTATTGACTAGAGACACAAATCAAATCAGCAAAATCAAGCCTTAATTCTATCAATAGAATGTTTGAATTTCTCCATCACCATTCCGTACAAACAATTCTAATGAGCCTTATTATGTCAATGCATATTTATGACAGGAAGACATAACCCCCCATCCTCTAACAAGACGACTTAAGCAAGGGTCACCATAATGTTCTCAACGCAGAAATATTGACTAGGGAAATTTGCAAAGACCATTCAAGTGAGCTTAAGAAATTCGTAACTACTTTTTTCATGATTTAATTAGCTCCATTCAAACTTAAATCGTTGAATTGAATAGGGAACTCGTAGATAGCACTAATGCTTCCAGATAGGTATTTTTCTCATAGTTGCAACATGCACAAACCCATAGACACTTCAATTAATTCATTTATTCATGTCATTATTCCATACATTGAATTCAAATTATAAAAACATCCCTACTCCTTCTCCCAACTAAAATCTCAGATTCTCAGGCATATAAGTCCTCAAATAAACAAGGGTAAACAAACGATTTTTGTATATCATCAGAGGAAAGGATGATGAAACCATGAATCCTAAATAAAAGATGAGTTACACATATCCTTTCCACAAAATCTTTATCATTCATTTCTTTAGATTAAGATTTATATCGTGCCAGATCTGAATCAATCATTCATAATAGAGAGACTAATAGTCAAAATTTTGTGTAACAATTATGTAAGGAAATCTTAACACAGAACATACATACATACCTGCAATTTGGATCAAACAGGAAATGATTATCCAAACAATTCTTCCAAACGCTAGACCGTCAGCAGTCGGAGGTGAGAGGCGCCGGTCGATCACATCCTTCTGATAGGCATTAATGGGGCTGAAGAGAAAGTTGATAATGAAAAAAGAAAAAAAAATCATATTTCAGGAAAAAAAAATCAAATTGAAATATTCCAAACTGAAATTAGTAAAATGTGGAGAAGTAAATTGCAATTTAAATGTAATGATTCTTGACCTGATGGTGGAAAAGGAAACTTTTTTACACAACGTGTTAAATGAACTTTTTTACCTCAACTGCAACCGTTAATGGATCCGGCCCGAAATCGGAACTCTCTCCGGGGACTACTCCGGCTATGAGAG